AATTTAGCTAAATAATATTACAATTCGAATATAATAATTAATTTACAGTAAATTGATCATAATTTGATATTATAATTTAAATTCAGAAAGTTATACACTGTTTCTCATAATTTATTCGCTACTCACGCGGTGGTAGCACTTTTTGTCTTTTGACAGATGTCTTTAAATCTGGATTACATCCGGATACGGAGGCGATTCGACGCGATTGTCTAATTACAGCACGAGGTTGTATGCCTTCTCCAAATGTCCCACTTGTTCTTATTTCTTCAATAGCATCTGAAACGCTGTAACAGCAAAGCATAGTGATCTTTTGATCTTCAACTGGTATTTGTTCGGCACCTATAATCACAAAGGCTGCAGTCGGATCATTACCAATACGTGATGGATAGTTCATACATATTAAGGATCCACTGTCTGCAGGCAGTGCAAATTTGCGCGAACCTAAAACTCGAATCTCAAGAAAGTATTTCTGGTCTGATTCATCTCTCGAAATGACATAGTCGTCTATTGTTCCGGCTGTGTAATTTGTCCGAGCTCCCCACTTATATACTGGTCTTGAACGAATATCATCTAGGAATCCGTGGAATATTTTGTATTCTGATAAAGGAGAACAGCCACTATCGCCTTTAAGACCGAATCTGCATTCTTGAATCTTGCTATTGTGGACTTTTACCAATGACAAATCAAGCCACTGTTTGGAGTTTGACGATGGTCCTTCGCAGGCAAAAACACTTTCTCCAAGAATTGAATGATCATTTGGACAAAATGCATATTTGCCCTTCTCGATAACATGAGCACATGTAGTAAAAAATAATTCCTTTTTTCTGTTTTCAAGAAACATACCTAAAGTGCCATATTTAGTTTCTTCATTTTCTGCCAAAGCCGCATTCGATACATCAACTCGACTCCCTTGTTCATACGAATATTTTGTCATTTGACGATTACTAGGCCATACTTGCATTGTTACGTGGAGACTACTTGTCTTTAAAAACTTCTTGAAATATTTCATTACATCGGCTTCCAGTGATATATCTTTAAGGTAGATACGAACAACTCCTTTTACAAAACCAAAGGCTTGAATAGAGGAATTTCTGCAATATAAACATATAACACCACTTAAAGCAGTATTGGCTTGAGAACTAAACTGCAGCCTCTAATAAATAGTAGCAGTCATGTTCTATTAGCAAATAATAGTAACTATTGCATTTACACTGTTTCAGCTATAGTAAAATTAATATGCCGTCGTACATATATTTTACAAGGGAATCTACATATTGATCACGATCCAGGTATCATATTATAACGTTGATACATTTGGTAACTATAGTTATACTTACTTGTTCTAATAATTGCCCTTAAATGTTTTATCATGTTTTTTTTTTATCTTTGTGTTCTGTTTTAGTTGATGTGTAAATGAATTTAAAATGGCAATCTCAAGGAATACTTTTTTGTTTCGTGTGTGTGTGTTTGCATTTTATTAAAATAAAATTGAGAATGGAAATGGGGAATGTGTCAAAGAGACAACAACCCGACCATAGAACAGGCAACAGCAGAAGGTCACCAACAGGTCTTCAATGCAGCGAGAAATTCCCGCACCCGGAGGCATCCTTCAGCTGGCCCCTAAACAAATATATATACTAGTTCAGTGATAATGAACGCCATACTAAACTCCAAATTGTACACAAGAAACTAAAATTAAAAATAATACAAGACTAACAAAGGCTAGAGGCTCCTGACTTGGGACAGGCGCAAGAATGCGGCGGGGTTAAACATGTTTATGAGATCTCAACCCTCCCCCTATACCTCTAGCCAATGTAGAAAAGTAAACGCATAACAATACGCACATTAAAATTCAGTTCAAGAGAAGTCCGAGTCTGATGTCAGAAGATGTAACCAAAGAAAATAAACAAAATGACAATAATACATAAATAACAACAGACTACTAGCAGTTAACTGACATGCCAGCTCCAGACTTCAATTAAACTGATTGAAAGATTATGTCTTCATCATATGAATATCAGGCACAATCCGTCCCGTTAGGGGTTTAGTATCATACCATCATAACATATATGAGAAGAACATAACCCGTGTCATGCCAACAACTGGTTTTTAAATAAATGTGTTTAGTGCCGATGCAAAGACCCTATAAGTGAATCAATATTAACGCCAAAATATGCAAATCTTTAATGACCTGACAACAATATCGTAACTATATCCCTTCTTAATAAGTCTATTTAAAGGTTTTGTTAGCTTCAGAGGTGAATACTGACATTTTTGTGCTTTATAAAGAATATTTCCATAAAAAAATGGATGTGAAATACCTGAACGTATAAGAAGTCTGCATGTAATACTTATAAAGATGCTGGTGTAGACTCTAATTACATCTGCTGTATAGCCAGTGGTTTGTATCGAGAATAATTGAAATGGTATACTATAATCACAGATGATTCCTTCTTAGAAATATATAGAAAGGTACATTTTCGGTTACATAAATCGACATGTTCAACGTATTTGACTACTTAATATTACGGATTGCACAGAGAACTAAATGAAAGTGACGCAATCGTGTCTATTTCTAGGAAGGATGTATCTATATGAGACGATTACATTACGTAGCAAATGGTTTGTATAACGTCAAGACAAGTAGATTTATTGGGACCTTAGAACTGGTTTTTTTCAGCGATAATTGCCGTTTTCAGTTACACCTCAATTGCAAAAGATTCCAAAGGCAGTTTATTTGTCAATGAGTTAATGATAACATCCAATTGTACTTATATTTGTTTATGAAAACTTACAAGATTTTTTTCTTGTATAATCAACAAAAGTCAATGTTCATTGTTTGTTAAGTGTAGTGTAGAAAATTACAAACAACAACATGTCAGTTGAGAGTAGAAGTTGGTAATTGGAATGACAAAAAAATGTGGAACCAGTTGCATCAACAAGTTGAACATCTCATGATAAGCGTGTATAATTGCCACCTGTTAGAGGGAACCAATCAGCAAATGAATGAATAAAATTAGGAATGAAAATGAGGAATATGTCAAAGAGACAACAACCCGACCATAGAGCAGATAACAGCCGAAGGCCATCAATGGGTCTTCCACATAGCGAGAAAATCCCGCACCCGGAGGTGATCCTCAGCTGGCCTCTAAATAAAATAAAGCTTATTAGAAATTTTTTTTTATTATGTTACTCTTTTAAAACAATAAAAGATGCAATGTATTTTGTCATTGGTATTATTAAACATTGTCTTAAGGGAAAACATGATAAAGTAATTTCTCTCATTCTTCCTTAAGCTTCAGTAAAGAAAATCGATACTTGAATATGTGAATAAAAACAGATTGAGGTTTGTGAAACAAATCTTTTTTTGATGAACTTATTAGAAAAAAAATGACCTTGGGATTACAATTCAACATTAAATGCTCACTTTTAAGAACTGCAATGATCGGAAAGTATGAAAACTAATTTCAATTTTTAGTGCAAGCAATAGTATACGTTGTCATGTTGTTTTTTTTTTTGACATATTGCCATATATGGATACTTTTTATACTAAATCAAACGTTACCTCAAGTCGCTTAATATTAAAATAATCATACTCAACTTGGATTTTTATCTTTTTTGTGATAAAACTATAAATGAGTAAACCAGATGGATGCATTGTATGTTTGACATTACACACCATTTTTGATGGTCAGCGCATTTGCTACCATTACTCCTCAACAAACATAAAATGTGTTTTCGTATTGTTGAGTTGACCTTCAATAAACATTAATGAAGCGGAACTAAAACAAATGTACACATCAACTAAAACAGAACACAAAGTTTTAAAAAAACATGATAAAATATTTAAATAGTTAAAAATATATTTTAGAGTATTTGTTTCGATGGAATTTATTTTCCTCTGTTACTATTTGTTTTCTTTCGAATTTTTAAGTCCAAGAAAAAACCCAGAAAACATCACGATCTAACGAATAACAAGCAAAAGAGAAAAATAACAATACACAACATAATACACAGAAAATTGGAAAGATCCGTGGTGGCCAGTGACACAATAATCAATTGTATCTATTATAGGACCTAACTATAGTATAGATTGTTAATTTGTTAGCAACCTGAACATGCATGAAGTATTTGTCACTTGAACATTAAACAAACAAAAATCGGTCAATGAAGCTTGAAATAAAAGGTAAGAGAAAAACAAATGTCTAGGTCTTGTTATTTTTCCACAGCGTTTGAATTATTACTTCAAACAGTTCATGTTTAGAATGAAGAATTTTTGTTGAAAGGAAGAGAAGTCAATTGTTGAATTGTATTGAACGAGGATAGGGACTTTAAATGCACACACTATTTAAGATCTTTTGAAAATTGTTCGTACGATGATCGGGTTCACAACCCCCTAGCGTTAGATTTTATATAGTTCCTCAAGGTTCGGTTTCTATTGCTGATCCTTTATGATTCAATCATTTTCTTGGAGCACTAGCCAGACTCAGTAATATAAACATGATAAATACACAACATGAGAGTAAGTAAAAAGAAACAAAAGAATGTTTGCATAAACAAAATTAAATTTTATTCTTCAGAACTATTTTTTTTAACTTAACTAAGTATAGCTAACATGATTGAGGAACGAAAAAGAGAAAAGAAACATACCTGAAAGATAAAATCTTCCAAGCGTGTAAAGTAACATTGTTGCTGATCTTGGATATTTCGTCTTCTAGAAGATTTTGTAAAGTCGTTATACGATCAATGTTAGGATCCAGTGGTACATGACGTGTCTTTCCATTTTGTTGCATGTTTGCATCTTTTTTCGCAGCTCTAGTCTGCATGGGATGTCTCAGTGAATGTTTGTTTGGATTTTTACAAATTGACAAAATTTCTTTCAATGATTGCATGCCCGATAGGATATGATTTTGCATTATTATTCCTAAACGAACAGACAATTCGATGTCCGTCTCTAAGAAAATGTTTTTATATATGCTGTTTGTGTCTAATGTAAAAACCTCTTCAATTGCATTACTGACAATCATCAGGTCATCGGCTGTGTATTTCTGATTTTGTGTGGTATTCTGTATGACATAAACAATGGAATCAGATGCTTCCTTGACATATCTATACGATGCTAACAGAGATAAATCCTATATATAACGAAAACAAAAATAGTTGAATATTTCATCTTAATTGGAGATTAAAGTTCTTTGCGTATAGAAATGTTTTATCGCCAGATATCTTATATTTGCGAACTGTTGAAAACAGGACAACTAAACATGACGTCTGTCGTAAAACTAATATAAGTCTGGTATCTCTGAGTTTTTACATCACATATAAAGTACCAAAATAAATAATGATAATAACCAATTGAACAAGAAAAAAAGATTTTTTTTTTAAGTTTTAGTGGTTTGATAGGAACTACCAGAAAGCTGCATTCCCTTTAAAACATTTTCAATCCCGTGTGTTGTATATCGAGGCTAAATTTAAGATAGAGGATACTGTAATTTACAAATGTTCGTAACATCTATTGAGACGATAGAAATTAAGGTGAAAAACTAATAAAACGGAGGGAATATCATGTACTCCTTAAGAAGCGAGTATGGTGCGCCTTATTCAATTACAGACTGTTAATCGTCTCCAGCCATATATACATCATCCGTTATGTGAATCCAGACTCAGTCAAAAAAACACATTTGGGAATAGGTAACATTCAGTAAAATTACAGATAAAACAAATATTCTATTATATAAAGATATAAAATCTCGAAAACTAGTCAATTGTGCGTTCAGACACAACCATATCAAATCAGTCAACCAATGCGTGATGTTGATTGTAAAAATGTGATGTAATTTTAAGTCGTTTTTTGTCCATATATATCTTCTGAAGCAGTTGTTGTCAGAAGAAAATCTCTGTTAATGAAGTTCGTATAGTGTAAATATGCACAACCGTTACATATTAATAGAGATTCCGTTGGTGATCAACATAAACTCAATCGGCGTCTTTTATTTTTTTGTATTTTCTCTTACAGAAAAAGATTGAAATTAAAGGAACTGAAAAGAAGTCTAAATTTTCTAAAATCTCTAGTATACGAGAATGAACAATTTAGTCAACTTTAGATAAGGCTTAGATCGATTGGAAATTACTCTCTTGGCTAAAAGACACAGGGAAAATTTGTAACTGTACAAAGAAAAAAATAAGAGACATAAAATGTTATTATGATAATAAAAGACCATAACATACAAATACATCGACCTGAGACAGAATATCGATCCACTACCCATATTCATCCGGATTCATTTTAGCATTACCAAGCTAAGCAAGAGTTGTGTTCCTTGGTCTGTCAAACTTCTGGTTTCCGTGTAGGTCGAACTACTGGTATCTCGAAATATTTCTCTGGTCCGGCTAACGAGAGTCGACTGTATATGCAAAACGATGAGCAGAGCTAATATCAATTTGGATAATTTCACACACTTGCTTCAGTTTTTAGTGTCAAAGTTGTGCTATTTCATTTTTGTCATTGTCTGTGATATTTTAACAGAAAATCCTGCGTCTTATGTCATTTAAACACCATATATATTCTAAACTTTGATATTTAGTAAAGTGTTAATATAGATTGACATATTGTTTAAGGATTCGATGAAGTCTCTTGGGTTAGATAAGAGATATTTACAAATCCTGTAATAATTGATGCCTACTAAAATTTACTGCTAACTTTGTATCTTACCTGATGTGCAACGACCGGTCTCAGAGGGACAACGAACTGCTGACCGTTGTGTAGCACCTAATTGCAACCATGCTTATTTGTCTAGTATGTGTTATTCAATCTTAATTTTCATTAACTTATGCATTTGGACTGCTGTAATTTTTTAGATTTTAGCTATAAACGTGATATATGAAATTTTGGGGTGGTTTCTGAAAATTCTTTAGATTAATTTAATTTTGGTTGTAACGCGTCTTCTGATTTGCTGAAAGTGTTTTGTCTATCAGCTCATAGGCATAATTTTTTTTCATGTGACCGTGACGTCATCAACGTTTTTTCATGATTTACTCCCTAAAATGGAATTTACAATTAAACTATAAGGAATGACTGTAATATTTTTCTGTCTATTCAAAATAACCTCAAAAATTTGGTGCAAACATTTAAATAACATGCTACGCGGTGGTTCAGTGTGCACCACATTTTTTATGTTATTTCTCATAGACAGAAAAAAATATTGCAATCATTCCTTAAACGTTAAACAATGTGAATAATGACGGAATACGGCAAAATACCTGACTACGTAAACATGGTTTTCCTCTTTTACATTCAGTTTCAATAATATATATTAACGCATATGGTCTACAAAAAAGGCTGCTTGATTTGCTGAGATCGGTGCCTAGGTGTATGTAACGACTGTCGGATGCCTCTACCTTCTCGAAGGTTTTTCCAACGATGAATTCTAAATCGTCAACATTGTTGTCGTTGCTGGCTATAACTAGCAGAGGGTCAGTGAATATTGACTTGTACAAGCTACCAACTTCGTTCCATTCTTTTGATGTTTCATCAGAAGGTGCAATTAGCAGATGGTAATTATGCTTAATAGACTGTTGGGATAAATGTACAGAATGGAAGTTTTCTGATGGGAAGACAAGTTGCTGAGAAATAGAAATAAAACATAAGTCGTTATGAAGTTGCCACTTGTATATATATTTTTTTTATGACATCAAATTTAAACCATTCGTGTCAGTGCTATTTTGAAATATAATAAATGTTGACATTTGTTTACATAAATAATACAGTCGCATTTTTGCAAAATCACGATAGTAATTACATTAGAATGCAAGAAATTTTTATTGTCGTTATTGACGTTTTACAAATGAAAAAAGGATATCCAAGGAGCCGCACAACATTGATTTTAATAAAAGCAACCGGTCAGTGAAAATAAACACCAGCGAAGAATAAGAGAAATGTGTATATCTTCGAGAATTCGCCCTAAAACAGAAATAATCTACAGCATATGTTACCATTTATTTTTGAAAGTTTCTATATTTTCTCTTTTTATACTTTGAATTGAGATATAAATAAAAGATAATAGTTAAAAGCAAATTCCGTATCTAGGCATCAAAAAGAAAAATTCTTTTCTTTTCCTACAATATCTGAAGATCGGATAATTCACCACCTCTATCTTGTCCGCTCTAACAGGAGCATTTTTTAATTTACGCTTCGTCCCCTTCAAAATACTTTGTTCTTCTGAAATTGTTATCGTCGCCATTCCTTTTAGGATCCTAATAGGAAAACAAAAGAAAAAGTAAAATGTATTTAATTTTGAGCAAAACATAAAAAGAGATTATGAAAAATTAAAATTATGAAAGTCTTTCCGCCTAACATATCGATAATCAAAATTTGAAAAAAATTCATAAAGATACACACAATCTTTCTTTAAATACAAAAAAGTAACTTCCGTAAAAAAAACGGTATTATAAGATGACTTCGTTTTCACAGATTCAAATAAAACATAGTATGAAATATAAATAAGAAGATGTGGTATTTGTTCCAATAAGACAACTATCCATTCAAGTCACAATATGTAAAAAGTAAACAATTATAGGTCAAAGTACGGCCTTCAACACGGGGTCTTGGCTCACACCGAACAGCAAGCTATAAAGGGCCCCAAAAAGACTGGTGAAAAACAATTCAAACAGGAACACCAACGGTCTAATCTATATAAAAACGAGAAACGAGAAACATTTATGAACCACACCAACAAACGACAACCACTGAACAACAGTCTCCTGACTTAGGATAGGTGTATAAAAATGCAGCGCGTTTAAACGTTTTAACAGGCACCAACCTTCACTTTAACCTGAAACAGTGGTATAACATTACAACATAAAAAGACACACAATAAAATATCAATTGAAATGGCTTAACTCGATCAAAAAGACAATACACAAACACAAGTAAATATATACACTGAACGAATAATTTTGATCTATGACACAATATAAATAAATAAGAGATTTCAAAGTCAAAAAGAAAACTTTTACCTTGGACAAAATGGCGTTAAATAAAATAACGTACACAGGTAAAATTAAATATAATAATTTTGTTGTTCGGAGTACATAAAAATTTCCTACAAAATAAATCCGTTGTTCATAGTCTCTATATTGAAATAAGGGAGAAGAATTAGATCAATTACTTCCGGTTTAGAATAGTAACTTCTGGTGTCATATCATGCATATTATAGCAAGCTTTGCACTTATTCAAAAATATATAGTTTCCACATATTTTTCTTTAACATAAGGGAGATAATTGACTTCTTACGATATACCAGATGCCATCTCCGCTGTCATTGGATAGCCTTCACTTCCGGTTCAAATGAAAGGTTGTTCACAGTTATTCTTAAATATAAGGTTTCTATTTAGGTTCAACTTTGACCTTGACTTCAATTTCAAGATCATGCCTCTCATATCAAAAGACACTAGGTCAAAAATATGTATATTTAAGCAGTTATACTTCCAAACAGCTTATTTTCATTTATGTAAGACGAGAAAACTCTTACCAAAAGGTTCTCGTACATTTCAACTCCATGTATTGGCGTAGAAGAGAATTGATAACCAGAAAAAACAGTACACAGGGAGATACCTCTCACATTAAAAAGGGTTCAGTTTTAAAGGGTGAGTTTCAAAACGACAATATCTGTTCAATGTCATATGCCAAATATCGTATCAACATATTACGAAGAAACAAAAGACTCATTTCAGAAACAACAGTGGTCGGAGAAAAACAAATTATCAGCACAGAATCCAAAGAGTTTTCCACAGAAAGATTGAAAGGCCTAATAATTAGTACAAACAAGGATAACAGGATTTAATACAGGCTGTTACATGTTTTTCTCTTAGCCAATTAATTCTAGATCTTAGGGATGAAATGTGTTTATTATCTCCTTGACCAGATAAGAACGTAAGGGGTATTTTAAAAGTGTTATTATATGCACGTACATGTATCTGCTGAAAAGTAAATCACTTCATTGTTATGAAATAGCTTGGCAATATATCTTCCTTATTGATAACGATACAGTAAAGTTATAAAGACAAGGTGTGACAACTTTGATAACGATATGACACGCTTGTTGTGAATGTACAGTATATTTTCTTTTGTTTTACTTTTCAATTATAATTGGCGGGATATCAGAGAAATATATAATCTACCATTCATCCCTGTAAATACCGATATTTATTCGAGACACTTAAATTTCAAACTTAAAAATGCGAGGTTAACCGACGATTAGACAATTCTGATATTTAACTACCGATAAGATTGTAGTCAATCTGTTTAGAAGAATATTTTTTCTCTAAAAATGATAAATGTAATAAACGTTTGGTTGAATACATTTTAAATGTATCATGCTTTTAAGAACCAGTTAAAATGCAAACGTAATAGGAAAAACCGCTCACCTAGGTGAATGTGCCTATTCAACAATGGACACTCTCCAACATTGAGGAGTAAAATAGAACTCATGACAAAAGTCTCTTTTTTGCTGATCTTGTATAAATGAAAAACGGAAGCAAGAGATACCAAATGTACAATAAAAAAATCACAAGTCTAGGAAAATTTGACAATACTATGGTCAAATACGAAATGCGACGAATAGATAAATGAAAGTTCACAACACTTTACATATGAAACTGAAAACAAAAACAGAGCGACTGAAACCACACACAAGTCTGGAAAAGCTATAGGGTGCTTAGGTGAATTTTTTAGATCCTGCTTCATATTTCCATGATGTGGTACCCGTTGTGTTCTTCCTGGCAAGGACTATTTCAATGATAAATCTCTTTCTGTGATTTTACGATCCAGGAAACGAGGAGTGGATAGCGGCTACATTGTTCAATATATAAAACATATCTGTGGCCATATCGGTCAACCAAAAAATGACAGTGTCCGTAAATGAGATTAAACTTTTCATCTACAAACCCTTGGTTCAATAACATCTTTGTAAGCAGAGAACCTCTATCATGATAAGAAACGCAAGCTCTTGAATATAATTACTTCATTTATGGATAAATATACGAACCTTTTTTCGTAGAAGCAGGCTGTTTTAAATTGGGTATGTTAATATTCAATTGACATACGTTATCTCAAAGTTTATCGGATTGGAACAAATATTTGAAATTACAAGATTTTTAATATAAGTAAATATAACGCAAATACATGTATATCAATATGGGCAAACTTTATTTTGAGATAATAGGAATTAAAGAGTTGAATACAATGAGAGTCGACAACATTATAAAATTTGAGTTTTACTTGTTAAATTGAAATTGTTGATAGAATGTATTCATGCGGAGAACGACACAGTAAATTATAAATAAAACAAAATTAAATTAAAGGAACAACATTGCTCACTGACCTTTATAATAAGAAGGTTTCTTGTCCACTGTTCAATCATTCCTGTTTTAAATTATACCGTAGGGTGTATTTGGTGTTAAATAGTATTCAACACCCTGATGCATTTACATTGTACAAACAACTCTTCAAAAAAAAAAAAAAGACTCAGTCAACATTTATCATGTGTATTGAAAATTTCGCCTGGGTCATAAAGAGCATCAAGTTGTAAGAAAAATCATTTTATCAAGCAAATCTGAATGATTGTACCATTGCGCAGTGACCACAGTGTATTATTAGGAGATTCAAACTATAGATTCATCGATTGCAGTCACATATTATTGGCATCTGATTATTTATTATCTTTGTCTCGCAAATATTTGACAGCCAACTTTTTGTTCCGTGTAAGAGCCTAAAATATATTAAACCAAAAAATGATTTTTCAATGACACCTTCAAGGTTTTTATCAGATGAAGAAAACACATAGATATAGAATAGGTGCAATAAAAGCCATTTAGATGCATGTAGATATGTAAGAGATGTCATATTTAGAAAACAATATACAAATTTATCATTGACATCATCATGCGTCATATGAGGTTAACGAATGAATAAAGATCAGATATGGAAACATAACTAGGTCTAGTATAAAAGAGGTTAAACAATAACAACACGATACAATGATTTGTCGTTGACATATGGTCGTTGATCTGATAAGATAAACGCACGAATCCAGATCATATACGATAAAATAATAAGTGGTTTAAAATGTTATTAGGGAAATTAAACTAATGATCTTGATTAAATAATATGCAAACATGAGACCCGATATGCTAAAAGACAATTAACAGAATCGTAAGTCGGAAAATGAAATTAAAAAGCAAACTGGCCGAAATGAACAACTCCTTTGAAATTCGCATGCCTATATTTGATTATAGAAAATACTGATATACAATAATGAAAAGGTGTGGAAATAAAAATAGTACTTTCGGCTTGAATTCCGATTATTTTCAAAAGGCTTTGGACGTATAATGGTGTGTATGCGTTAACGAATTGTAAAACAAAAAGTATTTTACAAATATTCATCTAGAGTCAGCTTGAATTTTATATGAATATTGAATTATATTAAAATGGCCATATGAATACACCTATTTACAAACCAACAAGGGTAATTTAAAGAATCAAATCCCAACGTCATCAAGAGACAAAAAATCTCTGATAGTTATATCCAATAAGGAAAGGTCAAAACTGAAAAGACCTAATTTATACTTCATTATATTATACTTCCATTATAAAAAGGAGTTGTCTGTATTGCAAGCTTTATTTTTTCGACCTTGTTGTTGCCAGAATCTAAGATCTTACAATAAAAACTTAAAGTATCAAATAAATAATCAATATTTGCAACCTATCTTCGATGGGACTCACCTACAGAGAAGATCAAAATAATATGTGACAAACAATCGAATTAACGTGTTACGTTACGTTGATTATACACAGCCATACAGCATTCTGGTTTGAGTAATTTGCTAGTTTGCAAAGTAGAAATTTTTAATCTGTTCTAACGACAGCCATTTCAAAAGGAGTATGCATGCGCCACAAAAATAAGGAAATGTATCGATTCCTAATTCCCTTCAATAATGCGTCCGCATTTAATCGGATTTTACACATTTTTTGTGTGACAGATTGAATTTTCAGTTTGCATAAATTGTATCGCACCTGCTTTCTAACTTTTGGTTCACACTCTTATAAAACAGGATGATTTTGTGTTTCCAAGTACGTTGACTTTTCAATTTGAAGCCTTTTTTTCACAACTACAAAACATGTTTGTAACTACATGTATACGAAAAGGGCGGTTTCAAAGGACACGTTAGTTTGAATACCAATATGGACACAAAACCTAATTATCCGCAAATTCAACAAAGTGAATTATCGTAATGAATATTGTACTATAATAGATTTCTGACATACTTGATACATGTAGTAATAATATTCTCCGAATATACAAACTTAACAATTTTTTTTTATATGTGACAGTAAATATAGAAAATTAAAATAAACTCTTAAATATATAAATTTTCCAGCATCTGACGAAAATGCTTTAGACTTGTAGACTTAACAATAAAGTTTTAACTTTTAAAAGATTTGAATATAAAGTTTTATTTATTAAAACATATGTTGATAACCTTTTTAACTCAATATATTAAGATATTATTCAGAAAACCAAGGTTTCAGCTTCTAAGAAAATAAGACCTTTACATAATTCGACTTTTCTTTTTAGGTGTATTTTTGGTAATCGTATAGCTCTGAAATATTCAAGTATTTAACAATATAAGTTTTTTCAAGCGTTCCTGGTGACGATACATCCAGAAAGACGCTTCCTTATGTATAAAATATTATTTCATTTATTTACAAATATATAATTTACATAAAACTACATGCAATTGACAGCATAAGACAAACACATATTAAAAGAAATTCTTTTCTTACCACTTCTTCAACATTATGGACTTAATAATTTATAGTTTTGGCAAAAATATCCTTGTTAATTCAGACTTATCGCAACATCAAATCACGTAATCAGTTCTTATATAAATAGTCCATCAAAATCGCATGCAAATCATGTAAGTTTCAATTTGTAATACTATTAAGCGCCAAATAATTCACAGGTCAAATACGAACTATAGTAACATGATTAACAGCACTAAGTTACTAAGTATTTACATCCTCCGGCTTAAAATGCGTAAGGCAACACCAGTTTTATATTGTAAACACCTGTGCAGTGTTAAGTACTTCACCTTACCCTCTACACATATTTTGAATGTCTATACTGAGTCATTATATTCTGAAATGACAATGTTGTTTGGATTTGTTTGAATTTCTTCTGAACATTAGAAAAATTATTAATGTTTCGCAATTTTGTTCAACAGTCTTAGTTTTTTTTTTAAACTTTGAAATGGCAAACGTTCAATGATCAGTTAATATTGATATTCAAAGACATCCAAACAAAAGGGTGTGTTAAAATCCTCGAGCCCCTTTTGTGAGGATGTCTTTAAAAATAAACTTTAACTCATCATTGAACGTTTGCTGACATAGAAATCGTCATATATATAAGTATAGTACAGAAAAGACACTTGTACAAGCCTTTTCCCCCTAGAATTGATCAGTCCATATATGATATATAAAAGTAATCAGACTGAAATATATATACAAACAACAGATATCTAACTACATCAAACGGACCGATTAAATGAAATTAACATGATTAAATTATTTAATTATATATCATATCTTATAGCTTTACTTGATCATCGTAGGATAGTGTTATTTACAAAGTGGTAACTTCATATTTTTGAACTTCAACTTTTCAAAATAATTATATTTCTTTAAAGCTTATAAATGAGTTAGTTAAACCCTTCACAGACCCCATTTACAACTGACTAAAGAAAAATACTTCTTTGCATATGTATATATTTGCCGTGTTTAGTGTGACAGTTATCAGGAAATAATTTCTTAGAGATCAAATTATAATAAAAACAGTTAATTAATCTCTTCCAACAAATAATGTTTTAATCAGATTGTTAGACAACGTCAAGCCCCTTTATCAAATTCTCTTATATATAAAGATTTGATAAGGGAGTTTGTATTTATCTGTAAAATTCTTATTAAACACAGGATATCACATTCTGATTTTTTGCGGGGATGTTGTTTAAAGAGCCCGTAAATTTAGATACGATCCATGTAATCTAGTTGACCTTTAACAAAAACTTACTCTAAAATGTTATCAATTTAACAAATTAGTAAATGTTTCAAGTATTACTTTAATTGGTACTAACATTGATTCTGCCTCTGAAAAAAAAATTTAACGTAATATATATAGCTATATGTGTACAGTTATGAGAATTCGTGATCCTTTATCCTATTGATACTGTTTATCCCGTTGTTTAGTTTTTTTAGGACGCTATATATATCTAGAAGTAAAAAAAATCAATTGTATTGTAAAGTAAGATTTATTAAAAAAAACTCGACACGACTCTAATTATTTTCAAAGAAAACACAAGATAAACCTTGAATGACAGTTAAAAGAAAATATAACAAACCTGTATTGGCAAATACTTATCAACGAGTCAATAATGTAGGCTTATGACGTTATACATTCTCTTTCTATGCAAATCAAGTATAACTCGAGTACCATGAAATGTAAAATTATCAGACAGAAAGATCAAAGGGAAATAAACTCATATCATAGATATCAGGATTAAAATTGTGTACGCCAGACGTTAGTTTCGTCTACAAATAACTCATCAGTAACGCTCGAATCAAACAATTATAAAAGGCGAAATACAGTACGAAGCTGACTAAGATTGAGAACCCGAAATTAGAGAAAATAGAGATAAATAGAAAAAAAAACAAACCCACTGAACCAAGGTAGATTAAAGAAATAGGTGAAGTTCATAATACCTGAAAACACCAAACGATCTACTTTATCAACAAACGGAACGACATAAAAACAACTGTCATACAAATGGGAAGTTTAGCTTACGGTGAAACCAGGTTAAACCTACCATTTATTTGGAAAGTGCCTGTACTAAGTCATGAATATGACAGTTGTTTTGCAGTCGTTCCGTTGGTTGATAAAGTAGATCGTTTGGTGTTTTAAGGTATTATAAATTCACCTATTTCTTTAATTTACCTTGGTTCGGTCGAAAAAAGAACGTGTAATCAAAAACCTCGTCTAGGCATAGGGCACGCTCTCTTCACGTTTAAGAAACTATAATAGGTAGCATGTTGCAAAGCAACATGTCTGACACTATCCAACAAACCCTCATTTAACAGTGGCAGTTAAAATGTCCCGCCCTTCAACCTGGTCGACTTACTCCAAAAAACCTATCCATTGCATTAATTGCTGTTTCGTTCTTGTCTTGGATATGTGTGAATTATTTGCAACTGACGGTTAAATGAGCAACTACCGCTCATTATCGTAAATTGAAAAAAGGTTGATCCATTACAAAGCCAAAATGTTTGGGTTGAATTGACAAAATTTGATCAGAGCATGACCTTAAACCTTGAGTATTCAACATCTGGCTTGATAAAAGTCTGTAAAAAAAAAGTTCATGTTGTTAATACATAGCGTAACCATTCGACCATGAAATCTAATACATTTGTATCATATATTTGTCCATCACGAGACTTTTACTTTTCTATTTTTTACATTTGCGAGAATACTGGATCGTTTTGAGAGTCATGACACACAATTTTTAAATTATTATTTCATGAAAGAAAGAGAACTTTCTCACTAATTTTGAAAAGAATTGTTATTCTTTTGAAAAAATCTGTATAATGGTGCTGGGGAAGAGGTTCTCAGACAGTAAGATATAATTGTATAGGTTTATCCCATTATGTGTTTAAACTATCTCCATTCTTAATTTGGTGAAGGGTTCCAGATTGTATTATGTTATCTATATGTTTCATTTGGGTTCATTGACTCGCATTCCCTATATCATTCTCATTGACTAATAACCACATCTCATGTTATCCAAATTACCAAAACTCTACGCCTGAATAGTGAAAAAAAATCATATGAACGTACTTCCATACTTCTGCTCATCGTGAGTAAATATGGACATAAAATGAAAACCAATATCAAATATCAATTCCACATCGAATTTTATTTTTTGTGATTTCTGTTTACATTGTTAAATCTACAATTTAGCTTAAAATATTTCAATTCAAATATAATATTTAATTTACAGTATAGTGATCATGATTTGATAAAATAATTTTAATTCAGAAAGTTATACACTGTTTCTCATAATTTTTCGCTACTTTCGCGGTGGTAGAACTTTTTGTCTTTTGACAGATGTCTTTAATTCTGAATTACATCCGGATACGGAGGCAATTCGACGCGATTGTCTTATTACAGCACGCGGTTGTATGCCTTCTCCAAATGTACCACTTGTTCTTATTTCTTCAATAGCATCTGAAATGCTGTAACAGCAAAGCATAGTGATCGTTTGGTCTTCAATTGGTATTTCTTCAGCACCTATAATCACAAAGGCTGCAGTCGGACCATTACCAATATGTGATGGATAATTCATACATATTAAGGCTCCACTGTCAGCAGGCAGTGCAAATTTGCGCGAACCTGAAACTCGAATCTCAAGAAAGTATTTCTGGTCTGAGTCATCTCTCGAAATGACATAGTCGTCTATTGTTCCGTCTGTGTAATTTGTCCGAGCTCCCCACTTATATACTGGTCTTGAATGAATATCATCTAGGAATCCGGGAAATATTGTGTATTCTAATAAATGAGAGCATTCACTATCGCCTTTAAGACCGGATCTGCATTTTTGAATCTTGCTATTGTGGACTTTCACCAATGACAAGTCAAGCCACTGTTTGGAGTTTTACGATGGTCCTTCGTGGGCAAAAACACTTTCTCCAAGAATTGAATGATCCTTTGGACAAAATGCATACTTGCCCTTTTCAATAACATGAGCACATGTAGTAAAAAATAATTCCTTCCTTCTGTTTTCAAGAAACATTCCCAAAGTGCCATATTTAATTTCTTCATTTTCTGCTAATGGTGCATTCGACACATCAATGCGACTCCCTTGTTCAAAAGAATATTTTGTCATTTGACGATTACTAGGCCATACTTGCATTGTTACGTGCAGACCATTTGACTTTTAAAACTTCTTGAAATATTTCATTACATCGGCTTCAAGCGATATATCTTTAAGGTAGATGCGAACAACCCCTTTTACAAAACCAAAGGCTTGAATAGAGGAATTTCTGCAATAAAAAACATATAACACCATTTAAACTAGTAATGGCTTGGGAACTAAATTGCAGCCTCTGATAAATAGTAGCAGTTATGTTATATTAGCAAATAAGAGTAACTATTGCATTTACACTATTTCTGCTATAGTAAAATTAATATGCCGTCGTACTTATATTTTACAAGGGAATCTACATATTGATCACGATCCAGGTATCATATTATAGCGTTGATACATTTGGTAACTATAGTTAAACTTACTTGTTCTAATAATTGCCTTTAAATGTTTTATCATAGTTTTTTTAATCTTTATGTTCTGTTTTAGTTGATGTGTACATGCATTTAAAATGGCAATTTCAAGGAATACTGTTTTGTTTCGTGTGTGTGTTTGCATTTTATTATAATACTTATAACGATGCTGGTGTTGACTCTAATTGCATCCACTGTATAGCCAGTGATTTGTATCGAGAATTATTTTAATGGTATACCATAATCACAGATGATTCCTTCTTTGAAACTTTGAAATATATAGAAAGGTACATTTTCGGTTACATAAATCCAAATGTTCAACGTTTTTGACTATTTAATACTACGGATTGCACAGAGAACTATATGAAAGTGCTGCAATCGTGTATATTTCTAGGAAGGAAATACAACGTGTTTATATCTATATGAGACGATTACATTACGAAACAAATGGTTTGGTAAAACGTAAAGACAAGTAGATTTATTGGGACCTTAGAACTGTTTTTTTCCGCGAAACTTGCGGTATTCTTTTATACCTCAATTGCAAAAGATTCCAAAGGGAGTTTATTTGTCAGTGAGTTAATGATAAGTCCCAATTGTACTTATATTTGTTTATGAAAACTTACAAGATTTTTGTTTTGTATAATCAACAAAAGTCAACGTTCATTGTTTGTTTTAAGTGTAGTGTAAAAAGTTACAAACAACAACATGTCAGTTGGGAGTAGAAGTTGGAAATTGAATTGACAAAAGAATGTGGAACCAGTTGCATCAACAAGTTGAACATCTCATAATAAGCGTGTACAGTTGCCACCTGTTAGAGGGAACCAATCAGCAAATGAATAAAGCTTATTAGATTTTTTTTTATTATGTTACTCTTTTAAAACAATAAAAGATGAAATGTATTTTGTCATTGTCATCAATAAAAGTTGTCTTTAGGGAAAAACATGATACCATAATTTACTTATTCATCCTTAAGCTTAAGTAACAAACAAAATTTTGATACTTGAATATGTGAATTAAAGATTATGAGGTTTGTAAAACTAAACTTTTCTGAATGATTTGTTAGAAAAAAAATGACTGTAGCATAAAAATCGAGCATGCTTCCTTTTAAGAAGCTACAATGATCGGAAAGTTTGAAAACACACTTCAATGTATAGTGCCAGCAGAATTATACGTTTTCACTTTACAGATTTTACTTACAGTTTGAACGATTTAACGGTTTAATGGTCTTTGAGTATTGTTGTGTTTTGGACGACCAGACAGTCGGACGAAATGACATACATTCACCATATCACCTGTGGTACGAGCGGGGTGGACAATTGAATATGATGATTATTTTTATAGTTTAACCGTTTAACTATAATAAATATCAGCAAATAGAATTTCTATAAAAGTACCTGAAAGACAGAATCTTCCAAACGTGAAGTGTAACATTGTTGCTTATCTTGTATATTTCTTCTTTCAAAGTAATTTGTAAAGCTGTTTTCTGATTATTACATGGTTGACTTTGTACGTGATGGGTCTTTCCGTTTTTGAGTTTTTTGCTAGATCTGGTCTGCATAACATGGGGATGACTATATCCGAGTTGATCATTAACTTTTTCTAAGATATCTTGTAAGGATTCCATTCCAGTCAGGATATTGTTTTGCATGATCAATCCCAGACGAATAAACCATTCAACATCCGTCTCGAAGAAAGTATTTTTATAAGCGCTATTCTTTTCTAATTATAAAACCTTTTCTATTTTAGTACTTATGGTCAACAAGTCATTCGTTGTATACTTATGCTTATGTTGTAAATTTTGTATCACATATACAGTTGAATCGTATTCTGGTTGAAGTTTTTTTAACGTTTCCATCAAAATTGCGTCCTGTTAATAGAAAGAAATATACACAAAAATAATTACGAATAATCTAATATGTTTATTAATTCGTCTATTGTCCATTTCACACAGTAATGATATATATAAAAGACCTTTAAGACAGATGTATATTTTAATGACTCGAATTTATTAAAACGTGTAGGAACATTTGGTTTCCAATGCTCTTCGGCTTTGTACTTGACTTGGCCACTCAGCTTTTAAGCTACAAGAACCATTGATTAGGTTGTGAAGAAGAAACGGGCTGGTATTTTACAGCAATTTAATAGATGCAACTACTGGTTCCCATTCGTGTGATGACCAGCGTAAAAAGTCAGTACCAATGTTGCGACATAAAATTAAAATTGATGCGATCATTTTCTGTAAAATTACAGTTTATAGAAATGCTTTTTCGAAACACTTAGGTTTTGCTACACCATACCTAAACAGAGTTAGCAATAACCACTACAACACATTTCACAGAAAATTAAAGACTCGGCAACACGAATCAACCATGTTTTTTACTCTGATTTGATTACACACTTTACATGCTTTAAGATTAAAACATTTTTTTATGACAAAGGTCAAATAATACGAACATGACTGTTAAGGGAAGCATAATTTAAGTAAGTTGCGGGCGTACTTAAACACTGTTAATGTTCTTTGCAAATGATACATTGCTTACAAGGGTCGAGTCTAAATAATTATCTAATATGCTGATATTTGTCACAGAACATAAATATCAAAGTGAATATTGTTATACGTGAATAGTGAAATTATTGGCCATGTTGAGGTTCATTGTTATATGTAAATGATAAAACATTTCGAGTGGTAAAGCAGGTTAATTGAAAGAATGATTGAAAAACATAAGTAGTGCCACATCTCCATCGTAACTTGAATAACCTTAAGCTGTTTAAGCTTATCAAACGGTTACTTCTAACATTGTATCTATGATGAGTTTATTGTATATTTCTAGATATCTTAATTTCAATAAAACTGATTGAAACATTGATAATAATTAGATTCACAAATACTTTATTGTATACCTGGTGACTTATACGTAGCTCTCCTCCAACTTTCGAAATTTGAAGAAGAAAGACTACTGCATATGGTCTGTGAGAAAGCTTGCTTAACCCCAGATAGTCTTTGTCAATGCGCAAAAAATTACTCTTATGTGGTTCAATAGTCTTACATCGTTTGTCCTTGATAAAATCAATGTCATCAATATGTCGGCCGTGGCTGGCTACAATTAAGTGCGGATCCGTAAATATTGATTCGACCAAGTTTCCAACTGCGTCCCATTCTTTAAAATGTTCTTCACCTGGATCAATTAGCACGCGGTAATCTTCAAACTGTTTGATAGATTGTTGTGATAGAAATACAGATTGGAATGTTTCTGGCGTAAAAACAAACTCCTGAAAAAATATACAAAATGCATCAATGATTATCGTACCTCACCAACACTCATGTTTCCTCTCATAAAATTGGAATAGGAACATATCTGTTATTATCTGAGAAACAGATATTCCATAACGTTCAACCAACTCGTAATGACTTGATTTATGAATGGTAATGAGCGATTGTTAATTAGCTAAATGTGTCATATGTGTTTTCTCTTGATGAATAAACACACAATTGACATTGGTCAAACTATGAATATCTCATAGACCATCTCCTTTAAAAGTTTGAAAGACCAGGCCAGGTATGGTGTTTTAACGAAAATTCGAAACCATAAATAAAAACTAGAATCAAACTAAAGCAAAAGAAAAAACATTAAATCAAAAACATGAAATTATTTCTTCCTTTTCAATTTTCTAAAAAAAAAAACTGGCGTCTTTAAGTTTACCCGGGCAGAAACGGAAATTAAACGTAAATTTCTATAAAAATCAATTCATTGTGATCGTATCTACCATTATGTCCTAACATTTAAAACTATTTTGATTTTATTTGTTTCTAATTCTAAACTTTGACTATTTGTGTAAAAAGCATAATATATAATTTTTAACTTGTATATAATCCGATTTATCAGCAGCAGCAGCAGCAGCAGCAGCAGCAACAGCTGTCTGTTTATATGGTGTTCCCTTGAAAATGCATTCTTGATCCAAAACGTTTACCGTCGCCATACTATTACAGGTCTAACAAATAAAGAACTGCAAAATGAAGAACAAATCCATAAAATACACATGTCAGGACAATTAGACTCTTTATAAATCGTGAGCTAATATCTCTGACGAATATTGAACTGCAGAGGAAAACTAAGGCTATTGAATGTCAGGAGATTAACTCAATTTTACCCGAAATTACTTGAAATATGCGTCATATTACACTTAACTGTTGTTTAGTTTTTAAACGTGTTAACATAACAGTACAATTCCATACTTATTTTACCTACGGAATACGTACGTTTTTCATATTTAATGTTTTATTCATATTGGTGGCGGACATAAAAACACATATAAACTCTGAATATATCATTATCAACTGTATTCCAAATAAATTGTTATTTGTATTACGTGTTACTACATATATTATAAACTGTGTGTTTTTTCAAGACCTTCTCTGTTAATACAAGCAAACCTGAAATAAAGATCGACACTTTACAGCAAAAACCAGTCTTTTTAGGTCAACTTTCATATGTAGAAATTCTTACTCCTTTTGAATTTTTTTTGAATTGAGACCTTCATCAGCCGACTAGTGTGAATAAAAAACAAGAAATGAACAAAATGGACAGATATAGCAATGAAGATAACACTGGAACCCCAAAAATGTAACCAATTGTCAGGTTCCAAATGCGGTACAGCTATAATATACAAACAAAAATTGGGAAGTTAATGATTTTAGACAGACAAAAGTCACCATTCAGCTAGGTCGACTCGTTTTCTTGATATAACTTTACTTGTGTTTTATACCGCGATAATAAGTTGAAACAACTACTAAATTCATAACTTGACTCATCATTTTTAAATGCAAAATAATGCTAAACTTTGGATTGAACACATTTAGAAAAAAAATAATTTTCTGTCGTACAGACGCACATATTGTTTTGTGCTTAATTTAGCTATTATCGAATAGCGTAAATTTCCAGCTTTCGATGATTCATAGTCTTAATGATTGAAATTTGGTCATAACGTACGAAGATTCATGCAAAAACGTAAACATTATGTCCGTTTTCTTCAGGACTGTACAAATAGTACAGAGATTTAAGGATCATTTCCTCATTATAAACTTTTATCTATTTCAAAGGTTTCAACTGTTTTTCAAATGATTATTTTTATCTCATTGTTTGGATAATAATTTTTCCGTTATTTGACATACGAAACCACATTATCGAGGTCAACGTCACAAGGAAATTGTGCTGTGTATATTTGTGAAACGATCAAAATTATATCAAACCTTTAGACAATGTTTAGGCCGATTTGTTAGGACCTTTTCGGTTATCCCTATACTTCATGATAATTATTCTACGTACTATCATTTGTTTCAAAATAGCCAGATATATACACTTTTTTTGTTTGTTTTGAAAATGTAAAATAAAAGATCAACCCCTTAATAAAAAGCGATTTATAAAAACATATTAAGTTACTCTCACCCTGCTGTTCTGCATTGTATCTGTTTAGCGACAATCCGTTTACCATCATAAACCTTATTTTTCATGACTTTTTTTCAAAAGTGTTTCTTTTTTGTCCTTGCCTTTATAATTTTCAATATTTACAAACTACAGATCACTTGTGGGTTAGTATTGATCCAATCAGAAGGATGTTTTTATTAATAATTTTACATTGCTTCCATTGAAACCAGAATGTGAATTTGAACAAGATACATAAGGAACTACAGTAGTAAATTGTGATAGTTTTCCTAATTTTATTGTGTAATCGTGCAATTAATAACGACTTTATCATATTTTTGAAGTATCTGTTTAGGTATGGATGAGACTTTTTATGAGACATATCCTTACGTTCATAATTGTTCCAGTATAATGTGTCATATAATTAAAGGACAAATTGTTGTGGTCATTTGTTGATCACACGACTGGAGTTCAAAACGATATTCATCGGAAATTCGCCATTAGAATGCATTCATTAATTGTCCTCGAATGAATTGTGGTATGCAGTAATAAAGTGTCTGTTTTATGGATATTTTATTAGTAATTGAATATCTTACATTACAAAATACAGTTGGAATCTTAAAATCATTGTCATAAAGGCTTAGATACTCACTTTTTTGTCACCTTGATTATTCAGAAAACGTTTTTTCTTCAGTAACATGTCGATTGAATAATGTCCTTTTCAATAGTGTGCATACATTATTAATAACGTCACATAGTTCAAATCATACTGAAATTAAACACCCGGAACTTGTTTTTATCAATGAATAAAATATATAGTCTTTGTTATAACAACATTAACGGTACCAGTTTCACCGGATGTGCATTTTGGCAAACATGTCTTATTTGAGTTGATCCAAAATATGTTTATATCAAAGGCTTATTCGAAATTGTAGAGCTGATAAAAAAAAGTAATTAAAAAAAAAAGGACAGCCAAAGCCAGGAACGAAACAAGACCTTTGCATGAGGCAGATAAAATCAAGATCTTGTAACAGCAATTTTGAATAACACAATATCCGTATGTTGATGTCACTTCTGAGGACTGGCTACAGGGCCGGTAATAAATGCCCTGTGGGATTAACATGCAACCACCAGACATGCGTACACAACAAAAGCATAATGCTAAAATGAAAACATGGAGATGGCTACCATAACCTCCTATCATAAATGGATTGCTCATCAGTGACCATATGCATATAATTGCGAAATAAACTAACAATTATATTACCGTTGGACTATGTTAATCATTTTAACACGGACATTGTGAATATTAAACAAAATGGCTACATTGTTTACAAAAATTCAAATAGGTCGAAATACTAATGATGCCATATCACAGAAATAAATCATTTTAGTATTATTTGACAAAACCCTTCGAGTTTTTGGTTTTTGATGATCTC